TATCTATCTATCTATCTATCTATCTATCTATCTATCTATCTATCTATCTATCTATCTATCTATCTATCTATCTATCTATCTATCTATCTATCTATCTATCTATCTATCTATCTATCTATCTATCTATCTATCTATCTATCTATCTATCTATCTATCTATCTATCTATCTATCTATCTATCTATCTATCTATCTATCTATCTATCTATCTATCTATCTATCTATCTAATTATGTTAAAACTTTAGACAAAAAAAATCTTTTGGCACGTATCATTGTTTAAACGGAGTGGCTTTCCAAAGTAAAAAACTCAACTACTAGTAACTAAGCTTCAATTTCAATACAACAACAACAACAAAAAACAGCGATCAGATTATAGCAACTTGAAGCCGACCTCTGTTAACTAGCCGGCCGCTTCACACAAACGGCTGTTTGCCCACAGGGGCTTTACCATCTTAGCTCCAACTCTCTATAATCAATATACACTCAACCACGTTACAGAAATAGGAAATGACTTCTCGTGAACTTTGGGGGGGGGGAGGTGGGGGAGGTGGCGCGTGTTAAAAAGATTTGTAAAATATATACTCATTTTTTTCTCTTTATAAAATATTTGTAAAACTCGGAAAGAAATGAAAGTGTGTCAGCAAATGGCACGAATATAGCCAGAATAACTGAAGAGAAAACTATACCTGGTTTAACTCGTGCAAACAACACTCAAGTAAAAGAGACCAAGGACACCTCCGAGATACGGTTCTATATAATGTTAATGGCAACTAGTATTACTGACCACCAGTACAGAGAATTTAACAGTATTTTTGACAACATTGATACTAAAAAAAATTAAATTATAACATTTTGAACAGGTTGGTGCTAATGAAACTATATTATTAGAAAAGAGAGCAGGATATTACCATGTAAATTCCGTGGCTATTTCTTACCCCCCCCCCCCCCCACACACACAAAATTAAACCCCACTGGTCCTAAACCTTATCCTAAAGTTATAAGGGTTAGGTCTACATTCTCTCTGCCAGCAAGACATAAATTCTCAGGCAAAGTCTGAGGTCTGATTATGTTGTACTCTACCGGTTCATTTCATGCAATCAATAAAATGTCGGGTGTCTCACTTTGTCGTAATTAAAACATGTATAATATTCATATCAATCTCAGAGAGGGGGGGGGGGTGTCGGTTAACTGTTGAAAATCATAAATTGGTTAGATTTTATATATCACACAACTTGACGATACTTTTGTGTGTGATATATAAGATTATCGTCAAGTTGTTTATCGTGAATTTAAGCCAGGTGTGCTAATGCCAAAAAAAAAAAAAAAAAAACGCACGACCCTCCCTAAGTGTTAACTATCGGGGTAGCTCACAGTCCCAGGCCGCACCGTGAAAGCCGGCCGTTCACCTACCGATGCCCGCATTCAACATTCTGACACGCTATACACTCACGGCTGACCGCGTTATTAAGTTTGTTGTGACAACCAGCGGATTTGCACTCGCCCGTGGTTACAGCCCCTTTTGTCTCATTTTTAGAGCAAACACCAAACCATCTTCCGGGGAAAGATCGAACTGGGTTTATCGGTTATAGATTAGAGTCAAATATATAGGGCAGGTAATGTTACCCACTGTCAGAACTAAACCTCCGTTTACTTTAAGCTGGTGTTTCAACATAGTCAAAACCCGGTGACAACCAGACCCTGAAGATCACCTCCCCTCCCCCCTAAACTCCCCCCCCCTCCTCGCCTTAAAGACAAGAAAGCTTACATATAGTGGATTTTTTATTTATTCTGTAAAGCAACCACAAGGTAGGGGGGGGGGCACTGTAGCGTGAACCACTTCAGCATAGACCCGCATTGCCACGGCTGAATGCCCGTATGTATGTGTGACACGATGAATACCCGTTTATAAGTAGAAAGATTGTCTGGAATACGTAGGTAGTATGGCCCAAACTACTGCTATAGATAGAACCAAACGCTTTGGTAGAATGAGGTGTTTTTTTTTTTGTTTAAAAAAATACACGGACATTATCCAAGAGATAGCATCGATTCTATGCAGAACTGATTACAACCTTTTTTTTTTATCTATAAATACCAAAGTGGCATACGGTAGTTGTAATTCGAATGGAATCGATCTCAGCCAGAAAATAGAAAGACGCTGTGTCTAAAAAAGAGGACACACGGCGACACGAATGACTTGCAATATCGTAGACCCGTGCCTTCACACAAGCTTTCAGAATAGGGCATAGTCGGCAAATTCTCGTTATTTAAAGACTGTATGTTTTATTATTTAGTAGGCCTGTAAGATACATGAGTAGTGCAAGAAACTACAACAGACAGAAGTATTTCATAGGCCTGCAAGATACAATAGTAGTACAAGAAACTACAGCAGACAGAAGTATTTCATAGGCCTGCAAGATACAATAGTAGTACAAGAAACTACAGCAGATTGAAGTATTTCATAATAGGCCTGCAAGATACATTAGTAGTACAAGAAACTACAGCAGATTGAAGTATTTCATAATAGGCCTGCAAGATACATTAGTAGTACAAGAAACTACAGCAGATTGAAGTATTTCATAGGCCTGCAAGATACATTAGTAGTACAAGAAACTACAGCAGATTGAAGTATTTCAGCCACCTATGATAACAACAGTAAAACTGTAGTTAATACATTCCACCCTACATAGTACGAGTTGCACGCCAGGTCCTCATACACTATACTCCCTTTTCCTCTATAGAATTTCAATGCTTATAAGACGACATTTTATAGAAGGACGATCTATCACCTTGCTAAAAGAAATGTTTAAAAAAAATATAATTGAGTAACTAAAAAAGTGAAGCCAGTCTTCATTCTGCTGTAGACATGTTTTTTTTTTAAACCAAAGAGAGTAGGCCTATAAATATAGTGAAGCAAGTCTTCGTAATTCTCTTACAGACTAACAACCAAATAAAATCTAACGACTACTGATTTTGAAATCTTTTTACGTAAGTAAAAACTTTTCTTTTACGTCAAACAGCACCGGTCACCACAGCACTGCAGGTTCGATATTTCCCAGCAATTAGCGATTGATTTTTCATGCGTCTGCGTGCCGACTCAGAAGACGTAGCCCCCGGTGAAGGCGACAGACGCGACACATCGCCAATAGGAATAAAAGAATTTAGACTGCAGGAAGTGGAAAAAAAAAAAAAACAACAGAACAGCACATCTGGGCTCGTTAATATTTCAACAGTTGCTGTTCTGTAACATGTTTTGTTTGTGGTACGACAACTGGAAATGTACTAGGTTAATACTACTACTAGCATCTACCCCCCCCCCCCCGAAATAGAAGTTATATAGAAAATAAAGTATACTTTTACCAGCGTCCGCCCCCCCCCCCCGGAGAAAAAAGCCTGGAAGAAACACTGCTAGCATGACACGCAGGCAATTGTGAATTATATTCAAGGGTTCAAACCGTCTCTTGTGTCTACCTGATGGTGAGTAACGTGTAAAAAAAGTGTCGATTTTCTTAGGAAAGCGTGATTAGCTTACTCTGGGAATTTGCCATTATTTTTATAGCCCCGAGCAACTTCAGCTCAGGCAGTAAACCAATGAAATTCCATTAAAAACCACAATAGACTTAAAATTTTATTGCTAAATTGAACGACAGCCCATTTCTACAAGATATCTAGTGTAAACAAACCCAAATGTAACATACGCAACACCCAGTTAGACTATGGTCTATATGCAGTATCGGCGATGTTGTAGGCTCTGTTATTCAACCTCATCTAATCGGAAATAATTACATAAACCAGCCAACAAGAACACACTAATCAACCAACTGGATTTACTGGGACACACTATACAACCATTATGGACACATTAAGCAACAAACTTAGTCTACTGGGACACACAAAACAATAATTTTGGACACATTAAGCAACACACTTGGCATACTGGGACACACTAAACAACCATCTTGGACACACTAAACAACCATTGTGGACACACTAAACAACAAACTTGGCATACTGGGACACACTAAACAACCATTTGGACACATTAAACAATTAACTTTGCATACTGGGACACACAAAACAATAATTTTGGACACATTAAGCAACACACTTGGCATACTGGGACACACTAAACAACCATCTTGGACACACTAAACAACAAACTTGCCATACTGGGACACACTAAACAACCATTGTGGACACATGAAGCAACAAACTTGGCATACTGGGACACACTAAACAACCATTGTGGACACACTAAAGAACAAACTTGCCATACTGGGACACACTAAACAACAAACTTGCCATACTGGGATACACTAAACAACCATTTTGGATACATTAAGCAACAAACTTGCCATACTGGGACACACTAAACAACAAACTTGACATACTGGGACACACTAAACAACCATTATGGACACATTAAGCAACAAACTTGGCATACTGGGACACACTAAACAATAAACTTGACATACTGGGACACACTAAACAACCATTTTGGACACATTAAGCAACAAACTTGCCATACAGGGACACATTAAGCAACAAACTTGGCATACTGGGACACACAATACAGAAGTTCAGAAACAACCTAACCAACAGCATTTCAACCCACACAAATACTAGAAACTATTCTGAATGCCTCACACATAAATACTAGAAAACTATTCTAAATGCCTCATATATACATCCTGGCCAAATGATTTATCACAGTTTGATCTACACCTGGTGTGAGCCCTCTACTCACCAGCTTATGAAAAACAAATTAACATTTGGTCTAGAGATGCCAGTTCTATTAAAACAGTGTGAAACATAGTTGATTATTCAAAGTTAAGTTCCCAGCCTGACATACACAGGCCACTCTGCCATGGTGTAGTCAGTTGTGTTGACTAGAAGACAGAGGACTATAAATACTAATAGAATTCTGACACAAGTATCACTACCTGTAAAGAGGTGGGTGGCAATACTACAACAAGCGCTACAACAGTTACACTGAATAATTACCTGTATGAGATCAATTCCTGCATTCCTGAAAAAATAGAAATGTTAAATTGTAAAAATAAATAGCAAAAATTATAAATGTGTATGTGAACTGATCAATGACCATATTACCCCCCCCCCCCCCCCCCCCCCCCAAATGAAAGGGTTGGGTAAACTTAATTGAAAACAAAAATTAGGGTTTAAAAATAAATAGAGGCACCTACCCATGTTTATTAAAAATATTGCACATCACATCAATATTTATCAATCGATCAAAATAAAAATATTATTTTAGATATTTACCAAGTGGCTTAGACTAAATACATTTCTACTTAAATGACCCAAGTGAGTCTTTCATGACGGGTAGACTTAATTAAAGGCTAAACAAGCTCAGGACTGCACAAGCCAAACCACACAGGAAGTGTTTACACAACGCTGACAGCTAACATTGCACTGGTGTTGACAGGCCAAATATGTCAAGGCTTAAGGCACTTGGGCCAAATTCAACAACCAAGTTTGATATACTCCCTAATCCCCTTTTTTTTTTGTGATCATGTCATACTTAGACAAAGAAATTAACAAAAATGTTAAAACTACGTAAGGTGCTGGAAGGTGGGTTAAATGAGGGATCAGTAATGGTTGACTCAAACATCACTGGCAGAATTTACAGTGGTCTTGGATACCACTCAGCTTTACTGTTCTGACTATACAACTGTTTTTATGTTTCCTTGGAGCATTGAAAAACATATTTACTATGAAAAAATTAACAGAATAACCTGCAGCTATTAATTTCCCTTCACAGCCAAAAATGATCTACAAAACTAAATTGTACATTCTAAATCAGCCGTGCATGAAAAAATACATAGCTTGCCAATGATGGAAAGTGCTCACTCATATTTTCAACCCTGCAATATTTAAAGCCTTTGCCATTTTTCCCCGATTAAGCGGTACATTTTACTGGATAATCAGGATACAATTTTCTTAACATTGTATGTTTGCCAATAACAGAAAAAAAATGAAGCCAGACTTTGAATTAAATTCCTTTTAGAGTTTTTTCCCTCGTTATGAATGGTCATGTTAAGATAAAATATGGGTTAAATTTTTTAAATTCCTAACTATGTTCACGAGACAAAACAATAGATCTTCTGAATTTAAAGTAAAATGCCATACTTTTAATTAACTATCCATCACAAAAAGTCAGGACCTCCCTCCCTTATCCGTTATCCATGTCACATCTCAACATACCACCCATTAAAATATTTATTAAGCTCTATACTGATTAATTTTTATTAGACATACATTTTTTTAAAGGCTGTAAAAAAAATATGAAAAAATATGGCTGTATCATTATCATAAAGTATACTGTCATATTTTCTACCCCCCTCCCTACACTGTATAAACATATCAAAATATATGTATCCCTCATAGTAGTGCAAAATTCTTATGGACAGTCACTAATAATTTTGTTTCTTAATAACTACATATTTCTATGGCAATGTCTTTTCAATTAAGAGTAAAATCTAACAAATCAAACAAACAAAAAATGCTGCTATATGTCTATAAATCTAAATCTAATATAAATGTGGTAATTTTATTTTGATCGTCAAGTCTTCTGAAACAATTACTAAAGTTAATACATATATATTTTATATTATTGGTGTTCACATCATTACCCTTTCCCTGAAAGTGAATAGATTAGAGGCCTTTACCATTATCAGTTAAACTACATTTTAGCGTATTTTAAATCTCCACTTCAAGTTCACCTCCGTTTTATTATAAACACAACAGAAATCCACAAAAACATCAAGAAAACACTAGTATTAGATCTACAGTTACCAACTTTTTTTTACGAATGTGTGTTTTAATTAGAACAGGCAAAAAACACAAATAAGCATTAGGCCTACAGTTCCAATTAAATAGCTTGTGATCGCCAGCTTGCGCTTTCTCGTCAGCAGGACAAAAATCCCAACACAATCAAGGGTTCACCATGATTCACATTCACTCTAATTATCATCATACGTCATAGCTATTTGAAATTATGGTGATGTCAGTTTTAGGGTCCTTTGAGTTCATATAAGTTTATAGTATTATTCATGCATGATGCTTGTAACAATACAAACTTAACCGCTTTGCAATTACGAGTTTCGTACTTGACCCATTGCCATGAAATTTTAACTGACATGAACATATTTTCAAGAGTAAGACACAAAAAAAAGCTAGATCTAAATAGTGCACATTTAGTGTTTCAAATTTGGATTTTTCTTAAATTTTGACACGTAAATTATTAAAAAACTAAAACAAAAAACACAAATAAATAGGCGAAGTGTTTTCCTAACATTTTTGTGGATTTCAGTTGTGCTTATAATAAATATTAAAATACGCTCAACTGGATGTGAATGTGAAGCGGGGAATAAAATACTCTATAGTCTATAGGCCTAATGGAGTTTTACCCTAGATCTAGTACTACACCATGATTCACTGATTAGTATAGATTATTAGGGCATATAGGCTAATAGTCTAGATCAGGGGTTCCCAACCCCGCGCCCGCCGAACGATTCGTATGTGCCCGCCTCTCACTATTCGACAGAATATTTATCATAAACATTATTAAAAGGTTGAAGGGGATGGAAATCGAAAGTTTGAGGGGGGGTGCAAATCGAAAATTTGAGGGGGGTGCAAATCGAAAGTTTGAGGGGGGGTGCAAATCGAAAGTTTTGTCCCCGGGTGACGGGAAGGGTCGCTACGCCTCTGGAAGGAGTTTTTCGATTTAAAATAGGTGGTGCCCGCCACCCTACCGATATTTTAGAATGTGCTCTAGAGTAAAAAAGGTTGGGAACCCCTGTCCTAGATCTATATTATATTAGGCCTAATATTTATTTTTATTAGTAGGTCTGGCCTATACTTATACTTAGGGACATGGATATGACGCGCGCTTTGCCGCGGGCGAGGAGAGCTGTTCGCCGATACCGTGATTTTGCGCTACGGCGTTTTTTGCGATGGGCAGTTTCGAAAAAAATAATTTTTTCCTACAACCCAAATGATTATTGTCATGGTTTTAATAAATATACAACTAGAAATGGACATCGTTTTTACTTACAAGTTGTTTTTTTTTTCCAATGGATTATTATTTTATGGAGTTTTTCATTGAAAATAAGGTAAGTTTGAGCAAATTTTTCAGATATAGCATTTTATGGCACAGTAATAAGTTTTAAGGCACAAATAGAACAACCATTTTTCTATATGAATATCAAAATTTTTTCGCGACAATCGGACCCAAAAAGGTTTTATTTGGTACCAAGAAAGCATCTCTGATTTCAACAAACCGGATGCTCATAATAATAGTGATTTAAATAATGAAACTAAAACCGGAAGTTAGTAAAAATCGGAATTTCCCAAATATTGTCAATGACGCTAAAGCAAAATATTAGAGCTGATTTTACAATCAGAGCCATCCATCATCTCCTTTTGCTTTTTATTGACTGATTTTCACTTCTATTGATAAAACATTGATTCTTTCCTGATGTTGCAGTTATATTTCGTGTTATAATTACATATTTATTTAATATGAATTATTTTACTGGAGTTAAGTTTCCCACATAAGTTTCTTTGAAGTTGCGTTGTTAATATTGGATACTATAATAATTTCTCTTTTTTTTTAATATCGAGCCCATTTGTAACTTTTTCATGTATAAATTGAACTATTAATATATTATGAATAACAATAAACTTAAATCTAAAATACTTCTAACAAAAATACTACATCATAGTAGATCTAGAATCTAACTTTGCTTTTGATGCTGGTGTCCAAAAATAATGTCACATTTCTGTCGGGGAGGGGCGACATTTTTTCACAATGTGTGATGAGTTTGTTATAGCCTCTAATTTGCGTTTTAAACTGTTTTTTTTTTTGTATATTGCAATAGACTAAGAGAATAAGAAATTGATTAATATACTTTTTGACCAGAGTGACCATAGTCAATATTTGAGAAAGAAACCATGAGCTATGTTAAAAATAAAGCTGCAATTTTGAAGGGGTTTTAGGCTCAGGTCATTTTAATAGGGGGAGGGGGGGTCTGTGGCTTTTTGTGATAATGGGTGACAGTGGGTAGTTGGAGACATCATTTTATGGTAGCTGTAGATCATTTTTAGTTAAATTCAATGAAAGAAGAAAATCGTTCTAGTTTAGGCTTTTTGGATTTCCAATACATCTAATAATTTTAAATAAGTAGATCTATTCTACACCTACTTTTAACTAGATCTATATCTGTCTGTGTTAACACAGATCTTCTGTAATAAAATAACTAAAAATAAATAGTCACAAAAGATGTAAAGATAAAAACGTAAATGTAATTGTAAATCTATTCTAAACAGGTTTTGAAGTTCAGCTGAATTGAAGTCACAGCCTTCACTGCTGGAGTAGCCACTTCCTCAGGATCGTGCATGGTTAGGCCTGGTAAAATTCACAGCCAGAATAGCTATTTCCACTGGGTATCAGACTGCCTGGTTCAAGTTTGTAGAGCGTCCCTGAGTCCACCCAGCTATGATGGGTACCTGACTCACTTCAGTTAAAGTTAAGGCAGATGGGCATAGTGCTCACCACACTATCCCTTCATATGCCAAGGTCACTGATACAGCAAACTTTACTTATTTGCCCCATGCACAGTCAGCTAATACAATATCTACATCATTTAAACGTAAAAGATGTATTTTAATTTGACATGTATTTCTAATTGCAGGCAGATGTTTATTATGTATCCTACATTAACAATTTAATACCACATGTTTATGATGATGCATAAACACGATGGATGAAATGTATACAATGTATCAACAAAAAGACCAATTTTCAGCTAAATATTCCAAGGTTGCCTATAGCAAAATTTTCGTTACAAAATAAGGAGGGTACCCTTGCTTCAAACCCATTTTTATGAAATGAAATATTTTTTTAATTAACTTACATCAATGTGTATTTAAAGTACATAATCACCTTCAAATTTTACTGTTTTTGAATGATATAAGCAAAGAAATTAAAATCAGTTTAGCTTTGTACCTCTTTCTTGTTAGAAAGTAGCTGCGCTGGACAAAAATGACCTTTTAACTTTGACCAACAGTAACAAAACCACATAAGCTAGATGAAATATCTGAACTTTCTGTGAATGTATACAATATTGATAACATTTCAGCAGATTTTCAGCTAAATATTCCAAGTGGTTAAAAATTGGCAACATATGTATGTTGTCTGTTGGAGAATTCTTCGTCACAAAATTAAGGGGGGTACCATAGTTTCATGCCCATTTTTATTAAATAAAATATTTCTTTTATCAACTTTGATCAGTGGGCATATTAAAGTATATAATAACCATCATTTATACTATCTTTAAAGAATATAGGCAAAGTTATCTAAAATAAGCTAGGCATTGTAGTTCTTTTTTGCAAGAAAGTAATTGCGCAGAATAAAAAGTACTTTTTGATTTTGACCATTACTGTAACATAACTACATAAGCTAAGTAAAATATTTTTACTTTCTGTGAATGTGTACATTGTTGGCATCATTTAAGCCAATTTTTACTGAGATATTCCATATAATAAAAATTTGGCAGCAGATTTAGTATTGCCTATATAAGACATTTTCTCAAAAATTTTAGGGGGGTGGCCCTCTTGGTTAACATTGCTTTTAACAATTTTTCACATCCACTGAAGTTATTTGTATCTTATCCTTTTACTGATATGATAAGCTTGATCCTAGTCAATTTTTATTAAAAAATACCTGGTATTTGAAAAGTTACAGAGGTTTTTGTTCACATCCAAAAAATAAGGGTCACAGAAATTGGAAAAACCCCATTATAAAAAAACCCGAAAATTAAATACGTTAAAAATTCATAACTTTGAAACCGTTTGAGCTAAAATTAAAATGAAAATATCTTTATTCCTGGCTAAATGAGCTCTATAAGATGGTGCTATTACATTTTTCATTTTTTTTAAATTCAAATTTTATCCATGTCCCTACTTATACTCAACTGCTATGGCTATATATAGGCTACAGCGAAAACAACACAATCCAATGCAACACATTGTCATTAACTAGGCAGTTTGATGAAAAATTAAAAAGAAAATTTTTTTTTTAAAAAAGTATCAGTAATAGCTAGGACAATGGTAAACTAAGTCAATTTAGCATATATAAACTTTCTGTGCAAAGTCATTATGACTGAAAAAAAATTCCAAAGTCATGGGTCCGTGTGGCATAGCTAATGAAGAAAAAACTCCTAGACCTGTGACCTGATTTCATGAGTGGATATCTAGATTATTTTTTAACATTTTTCAATGAAACTTATCAGAAGCATATTAAAATAGCTTAGAAATGAATGTAGATAGCTAAAAGTAACCAAGATTGATAAATAACTTTTAAAAAAATAATTAATGAATAGGGGTGGCAGATATTGGTAACACAAAAAATTGGCCTTATACTTTATAGTTCCAATTTTAAAATCATCCATATTTATGTATTTTAATTACTTAGACTGTGCACACTTATTATTTAGGCAGTTTACAATGGGAGTCAGTATTTGAAATATAATAGGTAGGATCTATTTTATGAAATTATGAGGCACATTTAATGGGCGTTTCCTTTCTATAGAAACTAAAAATCTTAAATTAAGCCATGTTCTAAAGCACACTAAATTGACTACATATTTTTTTAGGTACAGAACAGTCTGCCTAAAGATAAGACATACTATATCAGATTAGATTTAAGCAATTGTGACTGTCCCCTTCTCTTTTTTCATCCTTGATTTGGGACCAGGCTATGTCGGAGTTACACAACACAATACATACAGGCATAATAACAAACTAGTTTTACAATCATCAAATAAGCCTATGTAATATGTATGTACATATTTACACAAACAAGACAATAAATTGTAATTAATGTACTTGTCAATAAATTTGAAAAAGATATATACAACACAACACAGACAACAAGTAACAAGTAAATTCTTTAAAAATCCAATGTTATTTATATGTACATATTTACACATACAAGACAATAAAATTGTAAATAATGTACCTGTCATTGAAGTTGAAAAATTGAAAATAAAAAAATATACATGACCCACCAGTTTTGTGTTTTTTTAACAGTGTACAAATATTAACTTTAGATTGACTTCAGTGTTCAGAATCAGTGCGATGTATTGAATTTTATTGTATTGCAATACCAAACATACATCTCAATTCATATTTTTTAAACTCCTGATGGTTTTAGCCAGACAAATTACTTCTGACAATGTAACATGTCAGTGGTGTATTGACAAATTCTGACTATGATGTTCAGAATCAATGTAATATAGAATATGACATAATTAACATTTTGTGAGAAAAAAGGATTGACAAAATTTAATAATACTGAATATTATCTATAAAAGACATCATAATTACACTCACCAACCACTAATAATGTCACAAAACCACCACCAAAAATCTCACAAAGTTCCACCCCACGACAAAAAACACAATTTCCCAAAAGAATGACAAAATAACGTACTATGTGACATTTTTTAAGCCCCCACCCGCCCCACCCCCTTCCTGAAGACGGCCCGTGCCATGATCATATTTTGTCAGAAACAATTAGCAAATTATTAATTAAGGTATGAATTACTCAAGTAATAATAATATAAGAACTGTTTGAAGTGGTATTTAATAAACTAAGAATTATGATGACTATTATGAGTTCTTGGCATCTAACTAAGGCATCTGCCCTGCATTCCTAACTAGAACAGCACTTAAAGGTCAAGGACACACTCAGTCACACACCATAAACAAAAAAAAAACTGTCGATATATTAACAATCCAGTTTTAAAATAAGTAAATAAAACATATCTGTCTCTTAATGGCTAAGTTATCAAAACTTTATTTCAAATTGTAAGCGCGAATAAAGTTTTTTTCATTCAAGTTAAGTGTTTTTCACTCTAACAGTCCGTCAATGCCAACCCCACCCCTTCACCTCTTCCGGAATCGGCAATTAGATTATTATAAAATGGCGTCTTAAAAAAATAAGAGGGTTGGCCACTTACAGAAGCAAATGTATTGTTTTCAGCCTAATTTCATTAAACAAATCTAGTTTTATTTGATAGTAAAGATGTTATAAAAATTGGGTCTAATAAAAAAGTTATTGGGTAACGCACCTGCTTTAAATAATTCGACTTGAAACACAAGCTAAATAAGCGTGACTTTCTCTCGACGGCCTCGTGAAAGACAAAGGAAGAAATTAGGTCAAGCTGCCATTATTAAAATGTTAATTATTCGCCCTGTAAATACATGGGAAGTTTCGAGTACAAATCTTTCCGATTACGATACAATCCTTATTTTTAACTATTATGTACTTCATGAGAAAGAAAAGATTCGATATTTTATATGTCCGCCCAAAACACGGGTGCTTCAAAACCGCGAGAACGAGACTTCCCGAATCGAAAAACCTACATTAACACATCATCACAAACATGTACTATGGATGGTGAACAAGTAAATTCTAGATCTATTATTCAATTATTCTAGAATCTAGAATAAGATTCTACAACTCAGAATCTAGATAATCTAGAATCTACAACCGTTACGTGTGTGTACTCAAGTGTACTTTTAACTTTAGTGTACTGTTAATCTAATCCCTAGATCCGTAGATCTAGCTAATTCTAGCTGCTTCTAGATCTAGCCTAGCAGTAATCTACCTATTCTATTATTCTGATTCTAACATAGATCTAATTCTAATAACAATTCTAATTCTAAGAAGTTGATCTATGACAATGACAATCTATGATTCTAATTCTATGTGAATGTGATTCTATGGCCTCTCACCTAAATCTCTCTCGGTGCTCCTCAAAGTCAAGCTTTTTCTTCTTTTTCTCACTAATCCAATATCCTACACGTCGCATGTTGCTGCCGTAGTATTACACCGTATCCATAAGAGAGTTCGACAATTCTGTCAATAAGATCTACATTACTTCTTTAGGCCTACGCTTCACACGGACTGCTTGACTGGTTTTGCCCAGTAAACATTGGTGAAGAGTATTAAAAATACGCACCAGGAAATAGCTACACTGAAAATACGAAACAAACTATTACAAAATATATTGGATGGCGGATTGCGCTTGAAACAAACTAAAGATCTTGTCATTAATAAATATTTAAATATAAGTAGGCCTATAATGGCCTATATAAATATGTTTTTAGAATAAACAAGTAGTAACAATCATCATAATATTCAGTTTATTATAGGCCTACATTTTACAAATATTTTGTTTTCAAAACGTAGGGGCTTAGGCCTATATTAATGTATAATCAACTAATATCTATGTATTATCATACAACCAAGTCGAAAACACCGGCGTAGGCAAGGGGAGGTTATAACCCCTCCCATGGTCCCCACCCCTATATATATATATAATAGGGGTTGTCCATAAATGACGTCACACTCGTAGGGGGAGGGGGTCCGTAATAATGTGACGGTGTGTGATGAGGGGGAGGGAGGGTCAGATGGTGCGACTTCACTTTTGCATTATAAAATAAACCGGGAGTATCTCCCCTAAACTTTCTCGAATATTCTTATATAAAATAACAGGGGATGGGAACTCGGGCTATAGACATGATTTTTAATCCATTTTAAATACTTAAAGTTTTAAAAATATAATAAAATCTCGTAGACAAATTAATTGCACACCAAGTGAACGCCCAATAAAAAAGCGCATAATAGTGCGCAATATTATTAGTACTTTTAAAATTTACATTAGTTTTTTGAGAAATCGGAAGTAGCGTAAATTACTACTTCCAGTCAACGGAAATTACTCAAAATTTAACAGAAGGTAGAGAATTAGATCTTTTACTTACATGTGAAATTTCATTTATCTATCTGAAATAGTACTCAAGTTATAGGCTTTTGAAAAATTCAAAGTAGGAAAAGTACCACTTCCGGTTATCGGAAATCGCTCAAAAGTTGATACGGATCTACGATTTTGATATAATACTTATATATGAAATTTCATCAACCTAGCTGTAACGGTACTCAAGTTATCGTGTTTACACACGGACACACTGACACACACACACACAGACATACGGACAAGATTGCAAAATTATGTTTTTCCGTATCAGTGAGGTGTAAAACGTCGAGATCTGTAAAAATCTCGATTTTTTTTTTTTGCACGATTACAATACTTTCTCTATACTTCGTATATACGAGAAAGTAAAAAGCAATGATAGAAAACGTATTTTAGACGTTATTTCGCATTTTAGAAAACTGTTTTAATAAATTGTAATATAAATTGATGAAAATACTCTATTTTGACAGAGTTCAGACAAGATTTTGGAAAAATTTCGATGTTTTTTATAAAAAATTCAACTGCAATTTTGAGGGGGGGGGTGTAGGCTGGGGTGTGACGTCATTTTAGGGGGGGTCTGGCTTTTTGTGACGATGTGTGACGGAGGGGATAGGGCAGGTAAAAATCTTTTAAAAAGCGTGACGTCATTTATGGATGACCATATATATATATATATATATATATATATATATATATATATATATATATATATATATATATATTTTTTTTTTTTTTTTTATTTTTTTTTTTTTTTTTTTTCTTCTTCTTCTTCTTCAGTGGGCTTGAACTCGAGACTTTGTTCGATTTATCAACCATGCGCTTTTTGCCGACTCGACCACGCCTCCAACACAATTAAGCGTTACGTGTCAACTGGTTATGCGCCATTGAGGCCATTGACTCCGATTTCAGCCTGCTTCCATTGCCTATGTCCAACCAAGAACAAACTACAAGGCAGCAGTTGTTTAATTTTGGAGTTGTTTCTCCTTGAGTATATGGTAAAAATTGCATTTTCTATATAAATTCTATTTCGTTCTGGGGGGGGGGGGGGGGGGGGCGATAAACATTTTTCGGGGTGGCGCGCAGCCCGCCCTCCACCCCCGGAGAGATGCCTGAAAGAAACTCTGTATATGTATGAAGAAATTTTATATATATATATATATATATATATATATATATATATATATATATATATATATATATATATGTATATATTATATTATATATATATATATATGTGTGTGTGTTTGTGTGTGTGTGTGTACTTGTCGTCACGTTTTTTTACGACTTTTATACCTCATTCCCCTCCGTCGCATATCGTCACAAAAAGCCAGACCCCTCTCCTTTAAGATAGCAGTTTTATTTTTTTAAATGATTTTTATTTCTTTATCGATTTCTTTCTATTCTGTTGCTAATATTATTTTTAAAAAGCAGAAGTGTATCGTAACAACCTCCCACTCATCACACACCGTCGCAAACACAAAATTACATTCAGTGTTTCTTCCAGACTTTTTTTCTCCGGGGGGGGGGGGGCTCTTGATATTTGGGGGGGGGGGGGGGTCGGACAACACTTTTCGGGGGGGGGGGCGGACACTGGTAAAATTATATTTTTTCTATATAAATTCCATTTCGTTAGACCACGAATCCCTACGTTGTGCCGTTTATTTTTCTGACTAGGCCTATGAATAGTAATTGACCTAGGCCAGCTATGATGAATAAATAAAATCTAGATCTAGATCTAGATCTAGATCCAGATCTAGTAAATAAATAGGCCTAGGCTAGGCCTAAAAAAATTACTTCATAAATTCCCAATCTCGTTATGTCTAATTTCCGACGAGACTTTGATTTCAAAATGGCAGCCCGCTTATTGAACAAAACTTCGTAGTAGACCTAAATGTAGAATAATTTAGATTCTACATCTTGATGCCCTAGATTATTTTTATCGGATAAAGTTGTAGACTCTAGATCTAGATAATAGTTAGATATAAATCTATTGCTATGGATATTTTTGAGAAACACACAGAAGGACCTGGCTTTGTTGGTATTCGTTTCTGCAAGGAATGGTAGGTGACTGTCACTTTAAATTAAAAAAGTGACTTTATTAAATTAATAGTTGGTCGTAGTGTGGTAAGCACTACCTCACTCGCCCAGCCTCCTTATTATTTCTTATTTTATTAGGCTAATTAATTATTAGGCCTAATCTTATTTTAGTATTTCTGGCTAACCCGGAGTGGGGCCGGTTGCCAACAACAATGTGGCGTCGGATGCATGACTTCCGACAATTTTTCATCTTAGTTAGTTCCAGTGACCTTTTTAGAATTACTGTTTAAAACGTTTACCATGAGCAAAATGGCAGGGGTATTCGCGTTATAAAAACAAACCATAGGTGGCAGGGCTATTATATGCCAGAAAAGCATTTTAAGATTTGGCTTGGAGAATGGAGGTCAAATTCAAAAGTTGGTTTCATTAAAATTAGCCTAATAGAACTTAATATCAACGGCACGGTGTAGGTACAAAAATGAACGAGAACGTATTAGTTTTACCAGTCTATGAAAAAAGAAAACAAATATTGACTAAATTACCCGGGGGAAGTATATTTTAATTTCCTTCATAAATTCTATTTCGTTCGGGGGGGCGGGGGATAGACATTTTTCAGGGTGGCGCAACTTTCTTTATCGATTTCTTTCTATTTTGTTGACTGGGCTTGGTAAGCATAGCGTATATATATATATATACAATTAAGTATTGTATGTGCGTCATGGAATATGCCCTGATAACTCTGACTTCAGCTTTGTTTTCTTTCTACTCGAGAGTAAGTAATCTGCAAGGAAGTAGTTGTTTAATGTTAGAAGGGTTGCTGTACACAGCTAATGTTACAAATATGCCCTGTGGTGAAATGACATCTGTCCATTTGGTTGAGAAGGCTACTACATTAACCAAATAGCCAATAATAATAGCCTAATGATGACAATTAAGCTATTGGTGCTATAATTTCTGACAATAGACACTTTGGAATATAGGCCTAAGTGTTAGTTATGTTAGGTTGTAAGTTTAGCATTGTAATATACTACTGTCTGATCTGTGGTTACGGTAGGACTTAGTGTTGACGCTAGCAAGATATATTCATGTAATTTGACCAATTTTTTTTATTGTGGTATTTTTTTACTAATAATCCTAGTTTACAAGCATTTTCAGCAGTAAATTTTGGGCTTATTTAAAATGTAAATAGCAACTAATAGAGTCATTTGTCTAATCTGTGGAAAAGTAAGTCAAAAACATTATTTAACCTCTTCCCTGATCGTATTTTGGGCTAGTGCCATTTGTATTATTTAGAAGGTCCTTCAGTAGAGTCTGCCCTTTTAAAAATTAAAAAACTGCTGTCATCAGCATCACCTCATCTGCCTGGGCCTTAACTTGGGCTTATAGATTATCAATTGTGCATTCTACCACCAGTGTATGCCATCCCTTAAAGCTAAATAATAAAATAGAACCTTCTAAAAACACCTCAGTTCTTGGTGTAAAGAAGTATGATCAAAGCATCATTTTCATGTATATTTTCAATTTCAGCAACAACATGTTATATCCAAAAGAAGACAAAGAAAATAGAACTTTGCTATATGCTGTAAGTTTTTTTTTCATTAATACCATATAGGCTAAGTTTGTGACTGTATATAATGAAAATAATAAGACAAAAGATTGATAGAAGTGTTTTCAGTGATACCAGTGATTGAATTAAGCATGCTCAAATTGTATGAATTTTAGTTCATTTTGTCATTTCATGTTGTTTCCAATGCAGTAAAGTTTTGATTTGGCATGTTTATCTGGTTTCTAAAGCAAAAAGGAAAACCATACTATTTTGTAGGATTTTTATTGTGTGCTTTTACATTAAGTTAAAAAATTTTACCTTTTTTAACTAAAATTTATTTACATTCCCTTTAACTTTAGTTGGTATATTGTTTCATTATCAATACTTATCAAATATATATATTGACCTTGGTTTGAAAGTATGTTTTGTTAGACTTTTAGTTGCTTGTCCTCAAAGAGAAAAGATAATTGGTTATAGGCAACTTAATGAAACTGCATTAAATGACAATATTGAGAAATTTACTTTACTGTGTAGTTAATTTAATAAAAGATTTTTTTTTTCTTTTGATGGCTGTTGTGCAAAAGGTGTTGCTGCTACTAGTTTGTAAATGGTTTATTATAAATGGTTCATTTGTTTTATGTCTATTATAAAATTGAAAGTTTTATACTCTGTAAACTGAAATTATCTGTTCTGTTTCTAGTGCAGGAACTGTGATTATCAACAAGAGGCTGACAACAGATGTATTTATGTTAATAAAATTATGCATGAAGTTGAGTAAGTCAATTTCATTTTCTATTTTGGTTCAATTTAATTATGTATTTTCATACTAGGCAATATACCTAATTTATTTATATATATATATTAGATCTACATTGTTTTAAGATTTGCGCTAAAAAGTAATGCCTGGTAATTTCAGTGAATTAACTCAGATTGTTGGAGATGTTATAGCTGACCCAACTTTACCTAGAACAGAGGATCATCCATGTCCTAAATGTGCTCACAGAGAAGCAGTTTTCTTCCAATCTCACAGCACAAAAGCTGAGGTGAGTCAAACTGGTATATAACATTTAAAATCAAAATCAACTTATATTTTTTAAAAACATTTTCTGACATTATTTCCCCTCACTAATCAACAGGAAGGAATGCGACTGTATTATGTCTGTACAAATGCCCAGTGCATGCATCGATGGACTGAGTAAAAGATGTTTGTCATGTTTCACTTTTCATAAATCATCTCAATCATAATCAAAGAATTGTAAATAAATCGTGTAAAATTGTGTGGGTTTTATTTTTAGTTTTTTTTTTACCCTTATTATTCCAAACTTCCAATAAAGACAAAATACAAAGTGATGAGCGCATATTTTATTAGACGAAAAACATGATTTTTTTTCCAGTGATTTCTCCACAATAGAATTTTATTTCCAACCACCTAATCCAGTCACTTTACTGCACACTTGACATATTGCACATTTTTAAGCTTCTATCAAAATTTTGGTTAAAAATCATGTAAAAAAATCACTTGGCTGTTAACTTGTGCAATTTATTTTCCTAAGCTGCGCAAATTTAGTGATAATTATTAACACTGAATGCGCAAAAACTTCAACAAAACATCTTTCTCAATAGGCTGTGGGTGTTAGAATTAAAAGAAAAACATCCAAATATTGCAGCCAACAAGTATATTTATCCTACACATGCTAAATAATTGATGAGGCTGATAAATGAAAAGGGTATATATAATTCTTATAATATATTAAAACAACATGAACATCACAAGCTGGCCTTCTGTACATAAGCAAGACAATAGCACAATTATATGTATAGAATATTATTTATTATTTACATAAACTAAGTGAAAATGTTTTGAAAAAAAAAATCAACCATTACTTTTACAAAATGAACACTAACAAAAGCTAAAGAAGTGGAAAAATAATGTAACTGAAGGAAAGGAAAATGTCACCTGAACTGGAAAGCAAGTAATGGTATTGTACTTTATTGGCCCCTGTAACAAGTTCAAGTGAATACCTTTACCTGACTTTCAGTACAAGCCTGCTTACAGAAGACCTTTTTCAACAAGTGGTCAATTTTCAACTAATATTTATAAACGTGACAGTGATTTCCAAATACCATACAAGTACCAATTTCTACTTTTTAAAATCAATATACAAAAATGTTTCTCAGAAGTTACAATGCAGGAAATTTTAAGTATAAAATGCTGGTTTTTTATTTTAAATTATTTTTAAATTACTGAAAGATAAATAGAAATAATAAGAAAAAAAAAGAATCACAGAAGTTATCAATGTGGTGCTTGATGTGACTAGTAACACTTGTTACATCACTGAAACGACAACAAAATCTAATCTACAGGAAATTATACGGTAAGCATTGAAGAGGAAAACTTATTTGAAAGGTAGCTATTAGGGATTTTCATACAATAACTGTAATTTAAATAGCATAAAAAGTTAACATGCAAAACAAAAAATGCCTGATACTTACTTTTTCATATCAAGTTTACTTTTTAAAACCTCACCAAGGAAAGAGTTTAAATGTAAGCAATGGGAAGGCATAATATCTATATATTCTGAACACAATTTTGCATAACTGGTCATGCCCTAACTGAAAAGAACATTTCAATACAACCAGAACACAGAAATTATTAGATCCATAACGTTTTAAGAATGCTGCAAGCACTATAACTGTTAATTATCTTACTTGATGGAAGAATTGTCAACTAGTTTGCCTTGCATAAACTATTTTCCATTAAACTTGCTTCCATGCATAAAAAGGATTCAGCTTACAGCTAGACAACAAAGTAAAATTCAGCAGTTTTATTTTCTAACTGAAAGATTTTTAACATGCACAGTTAACAAAAAAAGAACCTGCCTAACATTTATAATTAACAAGACTCTGGACTTCAAATATACTAAAATGTGTAAAGTGGTTACACAAAATGCTACTCTTTTTTTAATTCAAATAAAAAATAGTTTTACTTGAAAAATAACTAAAACAGTGAATGGTTATGAAATAACTGAAAACAAAGGCAAGTAAGGCATAAGAAAGTCTCAAAAAGTGAAATAGTTTATATAAATGCTCAATTTTGCCATCTCCCAAAAAAGCTAAATCATCTTTATTAGTTGCTATGAATACAATGTGGTTACCATGCTATTTTGTGGGAAGCTAACATGCAACAGAAATAAATTACAAGTGGTTGAAACATACTTGACTAGCTGGACTGTTTACCTCAATGTTATAGACTGCCCTAGAATTATAATGACTATCAAATCATCAGTTGTTTATCAAGCTAGTTACAGTTGTGAAAAACTTTACTTTAAAAAAATCTGATTCACCTTTAAAATTACATTAACAAAAAAAGAAAGGTAAAAATAGAACACAAAATTCACATAAATGGCAACTGACCAGCATACCATAGAATTATATTAATTGACAAACTAAGAAGTTTTAAAAGCATGCCAAATATTTTCAATCTTAATTTACAAGCATTCAGACATAGATCAGACACTTAAAAAAAACCCTACCCTGATGCTTGAATTATTACAAAACAACATCAACAAATTAACTTGCATTGACTACAGTTACAAACCATCACCTATAACAGAAGTGTTGCTGAGCACAGGGAAATTAGCTAGGGAGTAGGAGGCTAAGTTACAACTGTGTAAGTACAACAATGTGATCCATGGTACATGTTTTCATTATCTTTATATATGCACTTTGTATAATTCTACTAGCATTTCAAAATAAAAATTATACATTTCCGCTAAACATCAGAATGGTGGCACTGATCTTTCAAAAAGCAGTTTTGAGTGAAAGGCATTATCAATGGTATGGTATTCTAGGTGAAACACTAAATAAATTATAAATATAGTGAGCAGATACAGATATGATATATTTTTAAAAGGATATGAAACAGTTTTGTTCTGATGATTGTGTCATATTTTGGTGACATTTTTCTATAGGTATTAAATAGGGGAGCTGAATGCTCAGGTTAGTTTATAATTTTAAAAATTTTGTAAATGTAAAACAGAAAAAAAAAATGGCGACACCAACAGCTTACACATAGCTGATCAGTTCAATAAACTGGGAAGATATGCAGTAAAAGTAACAGGTTGAACATAAAAATGGCTGGGTTTTTTTTATGTAACATGTTGATTCAGAGTGGCAGTGATATACCAACAGATGTTGCAAACTTTGCCACCAGTTTCTCAAACAGATGTACCGCTATCATTGTTTGTTGTTGCAGCCTGATGGAAGAGAATAAAATTGTTTACAAGAAAGAGTTAAGGTAACTGGAAATTGTATACAATTACAAAGTATGCACATAATCTCAGACATCAACACTATATTTTTTATTGTGTTAAAAAAAGGTTAATTCTTGGTATTTTTTGGTAATAGTGTTTTTAAATGTTAGATCAGTTCAGATTAAAAAAAAAAACCTTAAACATTTGACTTATATTGTCCAAGATTAGCATATATGTTGTTTTGGTGGAAGTAAAACCTTTTAGAAACATGGGGCAATATTTGTAAAGATGAAATCGAAAGGCCATTAGCCTTTAATGATAATGCAAGCATATTTTATGTTTGATATCTTTAGATACAATTACAATCTGGAAGTAAATTAATTTAATTCATCATATCCATTTCTTACTAAGAAACTATCAATAATAAAAAAAACAAAATGAACACACAGGTGAATTTAGTGATAGTCATATTAAAATATAATATGAACAGTAAAAAAAATAGGCAGCAAGGGACAGTTGGCATATATTTTATTAATATATGTATAGAGGAGGAAAACAGTTATACATTTCAATAAATATTTAAATTGTTTCCAAATTTAGAGAAGCAAAATATGTCTATAAATTTAACTGATATTCAAACAGTTTTAAACTTGTTGACTTTTTTCTTTAAGTTTGATAAGAAAACTGAGTTTGAATTCAGCTTTTCAATTACCTTTTACATAACAATGTAAATTAAAAATGATAAATATCATTCCAAAGGGGATATAAAGGAAAAGTGGCAGTTGTACTTAAGATAATAAACCAAGTAATATTTATTTTACAGCATGTACTTAGTACAAAAAACAAGATAAAATTCAAAACCATTGCCTACCTAACACCAAAAAACAATAGAAACCATTTTGAAATAAAGAAGGGGGTGAGCACTGTGATCTAACTAAGAACTTCAGTTTAAATCTGAGATACATATATTAGGTTCAAAGTTTAATGCAAAAATATATAAAATAAAGACTAAAAGTAGTGTTAATGATTAATTTTTATGAAGACTGCAGCTTTACTGCAATGAAAAAAATATATATAAATTGAGAACATATCCCAAAAACCTATGATAAAGTGTCAATTCTTTACTACGAATTCCCATGTAAATTTATTAATATCATTTTTTTAGAAAAATAAAAGCTATATTTAATTGTTAAAGACTAGTGGTGAAAGCAAGTTGACCTAACTCAATTATAATCAGACCTGCTAATATTTCCGATGACCCTATTTAAACAAAATGAAGAATTAGGGAGCTTTAAAATTAGGTGTATGCATGGGGACATAACTTAAATAATTAAAATTAAGAATATTCTGTTCTCAAATGTTTTTTGGTTAAGCTGACTTAAGTCAAAGGGTTAACAAGTTGGAATAAACTTTACATGACATTTATGTATGGATCAAAGTAGATAAGTGATTTATAAGCTCTTCAATACTGAACTTATCTGATTAATAAATAAAAATTCCTAAAGAAATTACCTTACAGATTAAATTTATTTATTATTAGACATGAAATTTAAAGTCTTTTCCTACCAGGTAAAGATACCTAATGAGAAAAATTATATGTCTTAGACAAATCATTCTTTTAGCATTACTGTTAAACTGTTATGGACCTGTAAACCTTAACTTGTGTCAAAAGCCCAGAAGGCTGACTGTTTTAAAATATTTCACTGATTGCAAGCTTCAAAAACTTAAGAGACAAAACTTAAAAGAGATGAATTCACAGCTACTACAAGTCACCTTCACCAGGAGCTAAGCTTTACTTACCAACAAGCCCAGTTGAGCCTGTATGATCATTGACAGAGGAAAAATATAAAAAAAACTTCATTTACATGCTTGGAAAAGAAATAACAAGCCAATTCAGAAATATAACAAGCCACAGGTAGAGGGGAAAAGCTACCTTTTGTCTCAATAATTGTACTATTTTTTTTTTACATTTTGTTTCCAACCCTTTATTTCAAGAGAAAATTTGAGAAAATCAAAATTAATATTGGTTATCACAATCTTCCTATGCTAATCTTGTACTTTCATATTTAATTGACTAAATCCTAAAAAAATTCTATTTTACATGGGAGGTAAATGATACAAGTTTGTCTAAACAGTTAAAAGAATGTGCTATTTTGTCAATGATAAATTACAAGGATAATTGACTATTTCAACTCATGTTAATTAGTATTCATATTAGTTTAACCCCCTTGGGATAGTAAATCAAAGTGAACAAACGCCCTCCAAAAAGTAAGTGTGGATCTTATTGATCACAACTCACCAATCGTTCACTGAGCTGTTTGTTGGTGGCCATCTCACGTTCTAGAAGTTTTTGTTTCTCAGAAAGCTTAACACGCAGCTACACATCATCCCAGCACATGCAACAATATCAAGGTGTTACCAAAACAAACCTACTAACTGATTAGGTATGTTATCCCTTGAGGAGGGGAGGGGGGGGGCGCAAAAAAGCGTTTGGTGTTTTAATTCATCCTTGTTTTTTGGTTTTCAATAGTTGTCCACAAGCAACCATCATTTGCCATGAAAATATGGCAGGGATTTCAAATCATAAACATATAAAGGCATCAACAGAATGCAAAACTGCTGGCTAAAATATGTGTAAAAAGCTGTGCTAAATCATAAAGCAATAATATAATACTCAAGTGATTCAATAGTAGTGAAATTTCCAATAAATAAAAATACAGTTAGTGTTTAGTGGCAATAATGAACATGGTGTGAATTTTCTCAAGAGAATTTAAAGAGAAAGCTCATGGCAGCAGTTAAGTTTAATGGTACATTGAGTATTGTGGAGTGAAAAAGCATGAAAGAATGTTAGTAAATTAAAAAAAAATAAACAACAAATGAAAGTGACTAGAGCAACATTTTCAAGCCAAACTAATACAACAACAAGCAGAATTTTTAAAGACACCGTGATATTACCTGCTCAATTTCTTCAGCTTCTGTTACTCCTGAGCTCTGGAAAAGTTCAATAAAATTTTATTGCATTGGCGAATATACAAGTACGGGCAAATTGCATTTAAAGAAACAAAAAATGTGTAAGAAGTTAATTTTACAACCAAGATTTTATATACACAAGCTAAACTTTAAAAAATAGTCATTTAAAAAAAATTCAAAACTAATATATGGGTCACTTACAACAGATTTAGAATCCAGGGATTCACGTAACTGTTTAACTAGCCCTTGCTCTTGTGCTAGAGCATCCTGTCCTGTCTTAATAATGCCGTTCAATTTAACTACATCCAAAGAAAGACCCTTGTTCTTTTTGCGTTCAGCTTCTAACTGGGTCCGCAATTCAGAAAGTTGCTAAAAAGGACAAAATAGGAAATATGTGCTCTGGAACAATGTATTCTAATAAATGATATAATTTAACTGTGAATTTTAAAAAACTAATAGAAATGAATTTTCTGATACTAACTTTTTCTAGCCCCTCTGTATCTGTACCTGAAACGTGGCTTTCTTTAAGTTGAGTAATCACCTGCAATAGCATTTTTTTCATTTGAATATATATATATATATAAAAGCATTAAAAACCTCTTATACTAATACCTATAAATATAACATTTATGTATTAAAAACATATTTGTCTGTACACATATTTTTCAAAACTTTTTACGAATAAACAAAATGTAAATATTTAGGCATCTCTCACAGTTTCTTTCTCCCTTGTGATGACAATTATTTTCTCTTGAGCTTCCCTCAGCTCCGTCTCTAGCTTCTCAACTCTCACTTGCATCTGATTTAAAAGAAAATATTTTTGTTTTAAAAATCTTACTATAAATAAATGTATTGTGATAATAGCTAACCTGCTTTTCACATGCTGATCCTACAATAGGGTTGAGGATTATTTTTTTCTGACATGAAAATGCAGAAAATAATTCTAGTATTTTAACTGTACTGTAAATCTGCATTATTTTCTTTTTTGGATTTAATTTGTTAATAAAAGTAAATTATAAATAGGACAAAGTAAGGTATGAATTATTCCTTTTGTGGGGAAAAAGATGGGTAATGTCAAGCACACAAAAATTGTTTACAGATGTGAGATTCTGATACAAAAATATCCTTTCAAATACAAAGGCCAAAACAAAAGGAAAACTAGAATACTATTTAAGCAATTTAAAAATCTGTTAGTATTTACTTAAAGCAAGTACATTTTAAATCCTGCAGCTAAAAAGCATGCAAAAGTACCAGATTTAGTAGTGTATTTTCAACTTTAAAAAAAAAAAACATGAACTTTACAAAATATGCTTTAAGTGAAAATTTTAAAACCTCAATTTCCAAAAAGAAACCCAATTATTTGGTATATATTTTACACACACATTTAATAAGCTTAAAGAAAAGTTATTTTGATTGATGTGGTATGCTTCATATTAGTTGCAAAATAAATCTTTTTGGGGTTTTAAGGAGGATAAATTCAACAGGGAAGGGTTAAAAATTCAGGCCATTTCTTAATTTGAAAACATTTTACAGTAGAGAAAAAAAGACCACAGTTTGTGTATATTGTTTAGTTTTATTTTTAAAGCTAGCCTTCTATTTTTGTTATTACAAATTTTAGTATTCCACTAAGGAAACTTTTAGAAAAGAAAATCTACATTGGTGAAGTAGCCTTTTATAACCTCTATCAGCAAAGAAAAGTAAAAAAAAATCTGGAGTATTTCACCATGAACATAAGCAATTAAACAGGAGTAATGAGAGGTGGTATTGCTTACTCATCCATCATTACCTCATCTACAATACTGTCAAGGCTTTTTTCAACACAGTGATATGCAAAGGACAAATCAGTTAGGTCCTATAATTAGCCGAGACACAGCATCATTTAAATGAAGCAAATAACACATTTTCAAGGATCTACAAGCACATACTAAGTGTTAGCTACAATATTTCATCCCACTATGTACAATTATACCAGAGAACTCAGTTCTAACAACTCTTTCAACCAATATAACAGGAAGTGATAATTTACTAAGATATTTAAGTGTATTTGTATAAAAATATGGAAGTACTTTCAAAACATCAAACAAGAATAAAGTCAGTACTTTAAGTAGTCAATAAACTACGCTATTCATTCTAAATATGGGTAAATTTACCTCTTGACTTCCCTGAGTTCCTAGTTGCTGTTTTAAACCAGAAAGTTGATCTTTTGTCTGAAAGTAACATTTGATACAATAATTGATAATGTCAATCACATTTGTTAAATGTAATGTTATATAAATACACACATTTAAAGCAATTTTGTTTTGGAAAAAATGCTTTAAACAGCATCACATTTTTAGAAACATTTTTTTTTTAAATTTAACTTCCTATTTAGCCTGTTTTGCTGATGTTTAAAGCTTTAACATAAAAACAATTTAAATATTGCCAGCATGATAAGCATACTGAAGATGTAGCATTTCAAACCCAGTACTAAATAAATTTTAAAAAATACAAAATGTTAAGCAGAAGAGGTTTGCTGGATAAAGACAACTAATAAAGGATAACAGGGTATGTGATGTATAGAAATATACTGTGGTTGCTGGTGAATTTTATGCATTAATTATCAAACCAGCTAAACTAAAGCAATTTATCAATTATGTTAGATAAGGAATGTAAACAAAAAGAGAATAGATATTAAAAAATTAATTGTTTGCAAAAAATTGACCTTTCTTGTTAAGTTTGAGCAAAGATTCAATTTGGTTTAAAATTACGAGGTGGTGTTGTGGTCTGTAATTCTTGATTCTGTAATGTTTGATTATGCTATTTTTCCAAGTCTTCCAAGTTTTTGTGTGGTTTCAATACAAACTAGCAGGAAAATACTCAAAAAGCTTATTAGGCTCATCGAATTGGAAATTCAGAACATAAAATTTTCTGCAAATGAATCGCATTTTACTTGCTAAATTTGTTTAACAATATGAAGGAAGCTGTCATGGTAACAGTTGTATTTCAGATTAGCTGTAATACCAAATATAAATTGTGTGGTTTAAAGAGAGTCCTGCCCACATAGAGTTAGTGGGATTAAACAACAGCATGAGAACCATGTACCTGTGTAAGCTCAGACTGAGCTGCTGTCAACTTGCCCTGCCATACTTTTTCCTCTGAAGCTACATTTTTCTCTAATTCTGTTAAACTATTTGCCTGTAATAATGGACACATCAATGACAGTAATTTCCAGATCCAAATACAAATAAAGAGGATGGATTAAAGAAATAGAAGATCCATATTAGTATTTTTTTAAAAAGATAAATATTTGTTTAAAAAATATAAAACAAAAACTATTATTGCCCAAGAATTGTTTTAAATGGAAATAATTCAATCCCTTTCAACAGTAACAGAAATGTTTGCTTTCCAAATATAAATACAACTAGATCTACAAGATTATCAGGGAAAGTACAGTGGTAAAAGGAGTCACCACATTAGTAAATAGTTCAAAGCACAAAAATACTTAATTAAAAAATGCATGGATTTCAATTTTTTTTTAGAAAAACCAAACCACCATCAGATAAACATGTAAATTTGCTACCTCAAACCTATTTCATCAGTTACTTTCTCATTAAAATTGTTCACACCAAATGTAAAAAACACAAGATTTATCTCTTCTAGTAATTTAAATACAAGCATATCTTCTATTATTTTTGTAACCAACACCAAATTAAGACATTTGAAGCAAAATGTTGTAATGATGAAATAGGTTGAACATGTCACCTTAAGCCCATATAAGCAATATTTTATAAGTACTTACAGTTCTAGATAATATTTGTCTATATTCTTCTATCTGAGACTTCTGTTGAGAAACTAATGTTTCTAATTCTTTTTCTTTTTTTGATGATGCTGCATCCTGTTACAACAGATTGTGTCAAATGCTGATGACTGGTAGTAATAACAATAAGCTTCCTAACTATTTATAGTGAGCAATTAAATAAGTGATTAAAACTGTGAGCAGCTGTCTTTACCATATTTAAGTCACCAACCATTGGTGAACCATTGTTCTTTAGGAAAATATCAGGTTAACACACACATTTTATGCACTCATAATTTTTGCATCCTATGTTTTACATCTATTAGTAATATTTCAGTGAAGATCATGAACTATTATGAGTTCACTGGATCAAGTATGAATATTAAAGCTTATACAAGGCAAATTCCTGATACAGGATTCATGCTCCCTTTTTAATAAAGCTTCCTTGCCTTTTTAAGGCTTAAATAATAAAAAATTTGATAAACACAAGAAAAGCAGAAATTCAAGGGTGATTTAAGATCTTTAAAAGAAAGTTAACTTTAATCTCTAAAATATTGCTTTAAAATTTTAGCTTTTCATCACCATATGCCTAGCTCTGAGTGTTACCCTCTTATTAAAAACAGAACAATTAATGCCACATGATTTTGTACAGAAAATAATGTCAGTAATTTGAAAGCTGTTAGTTTATATTTCTGTGATATTTTTTAATTAAAATTTGCAACCAAAACTTTTTTATAACTATTTTGGAATCCGCGAAACACTTCTAAATTCTATATTTATTTCTTATATTTAAGATTGTTTGGATATCCTGTAAGGCATATTTATTTAAAAGCTAAATACCTTTTGTGCTCCTGACAGAGCCTGCTTCAACTTTTCTTGCCATTTTTTCTCTTCAGCATCAATTGATTTTTCTAATTGATGCAACTTGTTTTCCTGAAAAAATAGCATTTAGTAAACATGAAGTATTAGGGTTAAGACTCTAAACCAGAGTATATAAATAAGGTTTTTCACAGCGATTTTCTAGTTTTAAAATGTATTTTATTTTACAGCTAAACTTTCATTAAAATTAAGTGATCAAAATACTTACTGTCTCAGAAACAATGTTTCGATAATGCTCTACATCTGTTAACAATTTATTGTTTTCTATCTGTAACGCTGAAATCTTTCCAGACTCATCCTGTTAAAAAATTAACAATTTATTTTAAATTAGAAAAATTTAATCAAAGAAAAATTATTTTTTCAAAGTCATATACTTATTGAAAATGTAGAAAACATTTGTCAATTTCAATTTTCCTAATCTTACATCTAACTTTTAAGTTTTTCTTAAAATAGACTTGGTGCAGCTTAAAGTCTGATAGGAAAATATAATGACTTACTGCTGATGTGGAAGATTGACTGGATTTCAATTGTAAAATTTCTGTTTCTAGTTTTTTTAATGTATCATTCTTTACATTCTGGAATAGTGAAATTATTCAGTCAGCAACTTTTTCTAAGCATTAGTTAAAATGACAATGTACACTGAAATATAAAAACCATCATGAATATTTTTAAAGCCCTAAAAAAAAAACTATTTTTAGTACATTATGTTATAAGAGGGCAATTTAATTAAACTAAGTGCACATTTTTAATTAGATTATACTTTTTGACTTACTACATCAGCAATTTGTTTCTCATATTCTTGCAACTGTAAAAGAGTTTTACTGTTTGTCACTTCCAGTTCTTTTAATCTGGTTTCTGCAGTACTCTGTAACAAAAACAATATTAAGCATAAGCACTGTCTAAATGCCAATTAGAAATTCCAACATAAATAAGTATTTCCCTTGTTTCAAATCCAAACATAAAATAAACTCGCAGCTGACTCTAGGCTTTCCTTTAACCTATCTACTTCTCTCTTTAATTGATTTTTCTCTTTTTCTAATGCAGATGTTTTAATATCATCTGATGACTAAATAAAAAATACAGTCAATACAAACTGGAATGCAATCCTTGATGTATCAGAATTCTCTAAGCTCAATGGTTTTATCAAAGAACCTCTAAAATATAAATTTGTTTTAAAATATCTAGGTTTAGTTTTTAACTACTGAAAGTTTTAAGAGATAAAAACATATGAATATTTAAACTTACATTTTGCTGAAGTTTTTTAACTGCCAGCTTTTCAAATGCAACAACCCAATCTTTATGAGACTAAAAAAAAAAGAAAACAAAATGTTTGTATTGAAAGTGCTGTTGTGAAACAGTTGTTAAATTTCTTGATACATATCTTTTTTTTAAATGATAAAAGCAATTACCAATTTGTCAGAAATTTGTACATCAGGGAATAATCGCTGAAATGCAGCTTTATCAAAGTTTTCAGCCTCAGTTACAGCAGTAGAGCTCAGCTCCTAAGATAAACGAAATATAAAATAAATGGTTTGCAATCAACAGTAAGTGCTTGTTGAAAATTAAATGTGAGAAGGTTTACAAATAATCAGTGTTTACATCCAACAGCTAGATAATGTTTGTGATTGTTAAAAATAAGCATTTAAAATAATAATCCTCAGATTGAAAAACAAAACTGAAAATCACAACAAAGCGGTTACATGAACAATAAGCTATAAGTTTTTTTTTTTTAGTTCAGCCAACTAATATATAGACATAAAGTATCAATAAGTATAATGGAGTAGCTGAAGGAAACTGCTTTGGTCAGTAATACTTCAGTAATTGAATTTCATGCTCAGCAGAATGCTGATAAATACTTCATTAATTGAATTTAAGGTTATTTAAAAGGGATTATAGGTTTTAAAGATGGATAAAAACTAAACAATATGAAGTGACATTTTATTTTTCCTTTCTTATTTTACTTCAAGGGAATATAAAATTAAAATTACTATGCAGTTGTGTAATGTAGTTAGAAAAATGTTTAAAAATTAGAATTTAAAGCCACAAAAATAAAGCTCTAAAATAAACATTTATTTTAAATATTAATGTTAGTAGGATTCAACTCATATCTTTAAAATCACAAAATTGAATGGCCCATACATATTCAAATATCACTGTATTAGTACTTAGCAAAATAAAATCATACAAGTCATTGTCACTGGTAGTTCAAATGGCTTGGAAAAATTGTTTTAAAAGCTGGTTATTATTAGTAAAAATCAAATGTACTACTTCATAGATTCAGAGTGTAACTTTTATCGAATAAAGAAATTAATGAGACTATATTACTACTGGTGTTTAAAGTTGTCACTAATGGAATATGAACTAAAAGCAACAGTTTAGGATGATTATTAGCTGACAAATATTAAAATTATGCTAATTAATTAACTTTTTTTTTGACAAATGTAAATGATAATTGTAGTTTATAAATAGCACCAAGTGAAACAGTAAAGAATGAATTATCGCAAGGAAATCAAATAACGTTTTAAATCTATCTCACCTGACTAATTTAACATTTATTTCCCATGGTGAAAATACCTAGATGGACAATGTCCATTCAGTTTTGTAATTGTCTAATTTTTCAGTTTAAAAAAAAGTCAGATGAAAATGTCAATTTATTTAACATTTTTCTTATAAGCTGAAAGATATTTTAAAACTACATTTTCTGTTAATGTAAGTGAGTAATTGCAACATAAACTTTGACGGTGTGATGAAATCACATCAAAACATATTCAATGTTGCAGTACACTTAGGTAGAAAGAACACAGTTTACTTTCTGCCTGCGTGTTTGTAGATGAAAAGGCATGAACAACACCATGAGGGTATGTAGATGGGATATTTACCCTAGCAGATTTCATAGCTTTATCTACTTTTTCTGCTGAGGATTTTTCAGCTTTTTCTAATGCTTCCATTGCTTTCCAATTCTTTTCTCGCAATTCCTGAAATTGCAAAGTATTAAACATAGTACACTTTGAAGCTATTGACAGTCTGTTTTCACAACTGTGAATTGGCCTCCAAGAGTTTAAGGATTTTAATATCTGAGCATTAAAACATTTAAGTCCATGTTAAAGTTATTTTTAAGGATAAATTTAAAATTTAGATCTTTTATTGATGAATGATGGTGGATGCTTAGCCTGAAGCAATTCTGTTACTTTTCTTGACTATTCAAAAGAAAAAGCACTAATTATTGTGTGTATAAAAAGCAAAGGATTTTATATAACCTGCTCAGACAATTCAGTAATGTACCCTAACCAAAGAAAGTATAAACAGAAATGACTTATCCACAAACCATTTAATATGCTAGCCAGTCTTTTTAAGAAGTTAATATACTGAAACTTTTCTCAGTGTTTAAGTCAGTAATAGTCACCTTCTGTATATTTTTACCAGAGAAGTTATTAAACTGCATACAACATGCTTTATAAGTATTTAGCAAAAATACATTAGCATCAGACAAGAAAGCACTTAGTTGCAGTGCTGCCTACCATAATAAACAGGTTTTCAGAGGGATTATTTTCTACAACATTAATTTGACAAATTATCACATAAGTAAATGGCACCAAATTATTTCAAAGCAATATTCTTTTTTATTGCGTGTTCACCTAATCAATTAAATTTTGTAGCAGACTTAAATAAATGACTTGGCAGTTATGACAGGCAGCAGCCTCCAACCATGCTTTGTGGAAAAAAAAATATGTGTCAATGCACAATCAGATTGTGAATTAATATCAGTGACATTTAATAATGGCAAATACCATGATGGTTCATCACACTAGAGCCTTAACTAGAAATCATCTTTCATAGCAGGCATGTTGATGTATATTAAGGCACATGAAACAAAGATGTACCTCTTAACAGAGCTCAATGTAGGCTAATGTATACCAATGGACCAGGAAATGAAGTTTATCACAAATAACCTAATTCAAAATAAATTACTACCTTTATTATTCAACATTTATTGTTATTAAATGGCACAGCTAAAATCTATAACTGTTTCTACAGAAATGTAAAACAGTCACCTGGTGTCAAAATCATTAAATTATGGAAAAAAGCTTTTAAGTACACAGCCATGTTAATGTCAATGTTAAAATTGCTTTCCGGATCAAACTAAAATCAAGAGTGATTAGATATGTGCCATGATGACACAAAGACTTAAAAAGTTAATTATGTTCATTGAATCTTGGTTTTTTGGTTCTTTTCTCTAGTAATTTTATATCTTTGAAACTTAAATGTACTAATACAATTTATTAATAAATGAGACTGGCAGCAGAGATCACTAAGTTTGCTACTGAGAGTACAAGCATCTACAGGAAATACATGGGTGTGGTAAAAGAATAAAAAGATACATCAGATGCAATCATTTCCAATTCAAAAAGAGGTTTAGCCACCATTTTTTTGTAAAAATGCCCATTTGCATAGTTTGAAAGCACGCTATGTTACCCTCAGGGGATTTTACTAAACAAAAACAAACAACTCACATTGTTTTTGGTTCTTTGTTGATTCAACTGTCCTTGTAGATCAGTAACTTCAGCATTTTTGTTATCTAGCTGAGTTTGAAGACTGGATGCCAGCTTTTTCTGACTCTCAAGGTTAGATAATAAATCGCTGATTTCTTTATTTTTATCTGTTAAGCTAAACAAAAAAAAGATAATAGAAAATTACTTTTGGCATTGTCAGGATTTACAAAGTACACCTGGCAGACTTCAAACAGATAATATGACTCCTTTTAAATTGAAAATTTCAAATTGGATGTTTTCTTACTTTAATAAAACATATGACAGGTAAAACAGCTGGAAAAATTATTTTAAGATATTACAACACACCGCTTTTAAAATCGATTTTATTGATGTATTGAATGATTTTATAAATTTTTCAGTACTCTCAAAAAACTTCAGGGCTGGAGCTTATTAATGCTTAATAATTTAGTTCAACTTAGAAAAAGGGAGAGATATTGGAACAATTTTAAAAAGACCAAGAAATAAATTTTATGCATACATGCGCTCATGTTCTTCAGATTGTTGAGATACACTAGGTCCATTTTCATGAATATCTCCATTAGATGCAGGAGCATTTTGAAGGCTTTCTCTTGCCAATTTATTTTCATCTGATAATGCTTTATTCTCTTGCTGTAAACGCTGAAAGAAATAGGTTGCACATGACTAACAGCAATTACTGTCACTATTTAAATTCTCTTTTATATTAGGAAAAAATCCTTTGATTTTAATATAAAAAAACTGCTTACTTTTATCTCTGAATCACTTTCACTAAGTCTTTTCGAAAGATCATCCAGCTGCTTCTCCAAGTTCTTCACATTACCTTCCAAGTCATAACGTTTGTGCTCAGATTCCTGTAATCAGATAAGTAGTAAAACTAAGCAAGCTGAAATGAATTAGAATTCAGAACTAAACTTTTCCAAAACTAACATGATCAAAAACAGGTTAAAATTCATGCAAAATGATCTAACCTGAAGCCTTGTCTCAACTTCTTTATTTGCATCTGCCTTTGTTAAGTGAGCTTCCAGCTCTTGCAGTTTGGTCTTCAGAACACTGCATTCACTTTGTGCTGTTGTCAATGCTGAATTAGCTTTTTGAAGATCAGAGATAAGGGATGAATTCTTGGCTTCAGTTCTTTTCAGTTCTAAGCTTATCTCATCAACTCTTTTGTTGATTACAGAATCAGTATCTTTCTGCAATAGTAATGATACATTCAGATAATTGAATAAAACCAAAACCAATAAGTTTTTTCTTGCAGACATAGGGTTTTATAGATCAGAAATTTTAAAATTTACATTTGTATTGGAAATACCATTTTGTACCCAGCATCTTTCTACAACAAGGCTAATTAAGTAAACAACAAAAAATAAATTCATATTATACCTGAGCAGATTCAAGCTTGCGGATTTTATCCTCATAAGTGGATATCTTAGATTCCAATGTTTTTTTAACAGCCTCATTAGACTGAATCTTGTTTTGGCTGTTGTTTAATTCCTTCTCCATACTTTTTATCTTTTCACCTAGACTTACAGTTTCTTTACTATAAGAAATAAGTAGAAATTATGCATTTAAAGTTGTAATAACCTAATACATAAACAATAAAAAATTGGATGGATAACTGAAGGATGTTTTCAGGATGAAAAGAAAATCTATTTATTTAGGATAAAACTTTGAATGAATGGTAATTTTAATTTATTAAATTTTGATTCAACAAGCTCATGTAATATGGTGCTTCATTTTTTTTATAGTAACCAATGAAAGTTTCAAAACATTTATTAAAAAACTGCTAAAAAAATATTTTTTACCTCTTTTGAGTCAATGCATCTTGCAAAACTTTATTTTCCTAAAGAAAGAAAATAAACCGTTAGCCTATATCTTAACAATTCACAATAAACTGAATCTATTGAAGATACATTTTGTGCACAATACTACAATTTTTAAAAAAGGGAGTGGTTAGTTTTGATATAGAAAATCACAAGTTCATAAATTGGCCCTACACAAAGTCTCTGATGGGTGGCTTAAGCCTGAAAAAGTCAACATGGCTGATACACAGGCCACACAATCCCTTGATAAATATCAAACACTGCTTCATATATACATACAACTTTTAGGACATTGTTTTAAAGAAATAATTTTTTCCTTTTAGTGCCCAAGACATGAGAGGCAGATGGAATCAGAGTTTATCTGTTTCAATGACCATGACATAAGTGGGATAGTGTGGTCAGCACTATGCCCCTGATAAATCAGAGAGCTAAATTAGAGTTGGGTGTACTCAAGAAATACTTTTTTTTAAAAATGTATACCTCTAAGACTTTCTGAGATGAGGATTTGTCACCACTCTGCTCCAGCTGGCGGATCCTAGTTTGCAGATTGCTGGTTTCAACAACATGCTGCTCCTGTGAGTGCTTCATTCGCTGTTGAAGAGCATCAACTTCAGCTTTATTTTTACTGATAACTTCTTGAAATTTCTTTTCCAGTGCAGAGAATTTAGTTTTCTCTGAGGTAATCTCATTCTTAAGATCCCGCAAACGTGAGTTGGCAGATGCTGTTTGAAGTTGTTCTGAAAAAATTTCAAACATTATTAAAATTAGCCATGTTTGAAAATAATGTATTAAAAAAAAACAAATTAACTGTAAAAACTAGTAGCTGTAGAGTATTTACCTTCCTGTAGAGCTTTTTCTTTTTCTTCTAGCTGTTTCTTCAGTAATGAAAGAGGATCTCCTTTTTGACTTTTCTATGGACAATAAATAAGTCAATATTTTAAACAAAATAAAATCTTAAATAATAAAATTCATTTTCTTCCCTCTTTTAAAAATTCCAGCAGTAAAAACATGTTAAGGTATTTGTGGAGAAAAGAAAGTATAGCAACATACCTTGTTCCAAGATTCTGATACAGCAGGGCTGGGTGTTAAACCTTGCCTATTGAGAAGAATATCAATCAATGTCTGAACCTCACTATCAGATAGTTTTGCAGATTTCACTGAAGATATTAGTTTTGATCCATTTACCTGTGCCTCTTCTGGAAAAAAAAATATATAATATTTAAAAACTACAGTGATCTAAAACTATTTAAGTAACAACAATTCAGAATGTTCACACACTAGCTAGATGCTTGCCACCAGGTCACCTTTTTGAATTGTGAGGTTCTAAGTGCTGCAATTTTATATTCGAACCATAGTTTAATTTTGTAGGTGTTATGCACCTGATTATTAAGCTTTTTTTCTTTCTTAATACATAATCAATCAATTAACATCTGGTGATTTTAACAGACTCAATTTTTTCCATTTTAACAGACTTACAAACAAGGCATTTTAAAAGCCAACCACACCACATTTTCCAACAGCTGTTGCATAAACTAATACAATCAATAACAGCTGTATAAAATTCATCTCTAATTTTAAAAATTAAGTTTTAGTTTATTAATTATTTTTTTTACTGTTCCCTGTTGTGCAGGGTGTTTTGACAAGGTAGATAGAAAGGAAGTATTTTAACTAAAGTGTTTTTAAAAATACAATACCTATATTGGCCTTCTGCTTGCTAGAACGCTTTTCTGGATCTTCAATTTGAATTTTTGACTTTTCTTCAATCTTCTCAACCTTTTTGGGAGGCAAATTCTCTTTCTCTTTTACTTCTTGACGAGAAATTATTTCTTTTACACTTGTTTCAGTGTGAACAGCTTTAACTTTTTCAATCTTTTCAATAACTATTTTCTCATGGCTTTTCTTCAACTCCAGTTCATCTTTAGGAACAATGGACTTATGATGGACTTCCACAGTTTTCTCCACAACTGGTGTTACTTCACCTTTATTATGAAGAATAGGTTTCACACTCTTCTCCTTCTTCCCTCTTTGGCGAACACCAGCATTGAGTCCTAGAGACTCAGTAGGTTCAATAATCTCTGGTTCTATTTCTAAATTTACCATTTTTTGTTCCACTTTGGACTCAGGTTCATTGACCTGAGCTGCTTTTTCTTTAACCTTTTCTTTTCCCTTCTTGTATTTTTTTTTCTGCTGTTCCCTTTCAGCTTTCTTTTCCGCTTTTGCCTTTTCCCTCTCTTCCTCTTGCCGGCGTCTTTGTTCTTCCATGACTTCTTCAAATGTTTTTTCACGCATAGAAACTGCAGAAATGCAGTAAATCAGCAAAGCTGATATTATGAATGCAGCAATGCCGATAAGGATAGTAATTAACTCCATCTTGAAATCAAATACCAATCTGCCACTCCAAAATCACACCCAAGCTTTATTTTTTAAAGCACAATAGATGTAATACCACTTTTTGAATAGGCCTATATATTATTTTTGCTGATTCCTGGCAATCATACCCATGGAAATTATTATTCAGACCTGAAATTTATCATTTTGTAAAAGTTAGGCATTTTAAAAAAAAAATATTATTTACCCAAAAACTAAAGGGTATCTCTAACTCTAGTAGTCTAAGTAGGCAGGCATGTAAGGCCTAGTAATTAAATATAAATAGGCCTAGACCAAGATATTTCTATAGTTTTTATCAAAACATAAATTGAATTTAATAAACCAGTTCGGGCCTAATAGGCTTAAATAAATATAATAAAAGATTTAAAAACAAGTAGGCCTAATCAAGAAATTGTTAAGTATATGCCTTGGTCTTGTTTTAGAGGTTTTTTTTCAATACATTTTAAAGGCTAGAAACAAAAAATTGGTTTCTAAATAGAAATATAGCCTACCTAGTTCCTAATATATTTAAAATATGTAGCCTATAACTATAGCGCCCTGCCTATACTATAGGCCTAACTGTAGCAGTAGGTAATTTATTTTAACAATAATTTTTAAGCCTTAGTCTTTAAATTTTTAAGTCATATGTCTACAAAGACTGAGATTCAAAGAAAAAAAAAAGATTGATGTGATTCAAACCACGCCCTAAGCTGTGACTTAGATAACAATTGACATAAGTCATAAGTAAGAAGACATGGATCTGTCCAAAACAATTTTTTAATAAACAATGGCCCATTGAACTAGGATTCTAGATATAGATCTATGAATGAATTGAATGATGTAGATCTGATCTAGAATAGATAATGTAGATACTATTATTACTAGACTCTAGGCCTATATGACATGTCTTATGATTATCCATAGGCCTATTATTTTTTATTTATTATGTAATGTAGACATCTCTAGCTAGTAGCTAGACTCCAAAGTAGAATGAAGAATTTATTTTATGGGCCTACGTCTTGCTTTACTAATTAATATTATATTATTAACTAGATTCTAGATCTAGAAAATATCTAGATAGTACATAGAAATTAGCTACTCGAGAGCCTAGTAACTCTGCCCACTATCTTTGATACTGAATAACTGGACTAGGCCCCTAGTAAAGAGCTGTAGATCTATTAGTCTATATACTATATGATACTGACGACTGCACTATCACTTTCAGCAGTTTCAGCTCAGCCAAAACCGTACCTCTCATTAAAATAGAATAGGAATATGAGTCATTTCTATGATTGGACTGTCTACATCTATCATCACCAGCTTACTTATTTTTTAAAAATAGTTTACCAACAATAATATATCGATATTTACCATGATGTGTAACACATAAGAATTGCAGACTCGTCAACGTGGAAAAGGTTGATGCCACTAGACGAGGTTAGAACTATCAATTTTTGTTGCTAAAAATAAATCGCTCTGTAAGCCTATATGATTTTTACTCCCGGTGTGAATAAGCCTTTATATTCTGATTGGTCCATAACAGTTAATAGTAATTCTCTTTGCCACGCATCCTCCCTGCCACGTGAATAATCAAAACCCATTCGAATAGCCCATATGGTAGATAAAAAATATGTGTATTTGCAGACTTTAACTCAAAATTTGTATACAGTTATCAATTGAACGTTGAATACTAACATCGAGCATTTATTCTCATATTTTGGACTAAAGCTATTTACTCCTTGGTATGCGCCATCTACATCCTGGTTGCTCTTAACTTTTGTTTGATTAGGCCTAGACCAGGACCGGCCTGATTATGTAAGGGTCTACTTGGGAAAATAATTATTTTTTTTTGTGCCCCAAAAATCTACAATCTATTTTTTTTTTCCATATTCTTGCTATTGGTGAGACTTTTTAAAAGATACCCATCTGTCATTTTCATACCACCAGTGCAAGCAACTATCTATTCTATATCTACTGAGTTCAGGCAACGACAAAGCAAAAATAGCCCAAAAATAGTCTTTGACCTCGCCCATTCCATTAGTAATAGATCTAGTCCATTTACTTAGTGGGTGTCCAATAAGGTCTTAAAGCGTGTTGGAAAAGGGAAAGAGTTCATACTTCATGAGCTGTGTGTGGGGAGAGGGTGTTTAGAATAGTTTGATGTTTTATATACTTTTATAGCCTATGTGTAGAACGTTTCTAATTAAGTGAAAATCCGTCTGATGAACTATAGTCTGTGGTTGAATTAGTTGGGTCTGGGATCAGTGTTTCTTCCAGACTTTTTTCTCCGGGGGGGGGGGGGGGGCACTTGAAATTTTCGGGGGGGGGGGGGGGCGGTAGACTTTCTTTGGGGGGGGGGGGGGGCGGACACTGTTAAAAGTATATATTTTCTATATAAATTATATAAATTTCGTTCGAGGGGGGGGGGGGGGGCGGTAAAAAATTGTGGCGATGCATTCAGTGTTTCTTGCAAAATGTTCCATCCGGGGTGACACTTGAAACTTTGGGGGCAGTGTTTCTTCCAGACTTTTTTCTCCGGGGGGGGGGGGGGGCAGTGGCGGAACTAGAAAAAATGGGCCACCCCGCAAAAAAAAATTTTGGGCCCCCTATATATGTATATATGTATATATATATATATATATATATATATATATATATATATATATATATATATATATATATATATATATATATATATATATATATATATATACAAACACACAATACGAACATAGGATACTCATTTCTGGCCTGATTGGGTTTCGAACAAAAAAATTCACAACAACATGTCATGTGTGTGGCGCATTGGTCTGTTTTGAAAATCTCTGTTTTCATTTATGTTTAATACTTCTAATCACAAGTCGGTCAAAAGTATATAAATCATGAAGCTTTGTATAAGTAATGGTGTCTCGTGTTATGTTTATTTTTATGTGTTTTTTTTTTGTATTTAGATTTTTAATTTTAACTACATTTCATTTTTATACTATACCATTCTTTAGTACTTTTTTTTTAAAATAATAATTAAGATAAGTAATTGCTGTTTAATTTGATTATTACAAATCTATTAAAAGGAGCTTATGAGCACCCCTATTTGACTATTTGAAAAAGGGAAATAATTTTAGGAAGTGGTTTGAACGTTTGCCTATCTTTCACACTACAGCTCATGTGTATATATATTTTTTATTTTTTATGCAACAGCATGTCTTAGCTACTATATAACATCGCTACAGTATTAGATCTGTTATCTGTTTGTTGTTTACAAAACCACTATCAAGGTGCCAGTGACGAAACATATATATATATATATATATATATATATATATATATATATATATATATATATATATATATATATATATATATATATATATATATATATATATATATATATAAGTTTGTTGTTTACAAAACCACTATCAAGGTGCCAGTGACGAAACATATATATATATATATATATATATATATATATATATATATATATATATATATATATATATATAAGTTTGTTGTTTACAAAACCACTATCAAGGTGCCAGTGACGAAACTAATATATATATATATATATATATATATATATATATATATATATATATATATATATATATATATATATATATATATATATATATATATATATATATATATATATATATATATATATGTAACTAGGGTAGGCCTAGCTACTAGTTACGAACGATAAGCCGCGACGCAGTATTACAGTCTGATGCAACCGATAGCAGGTGGCTTATTAGATCGGACTGATAACAATCTCAAAGCCAACGCGTGCTATTTTGGGAAACGGTACGAGGGGATTCAGACGGCCTGTCAACTTTGATTGATAGGATGCAGATGTTTAATTAATCGGACTGTACGTTAGAACTGCGCAACTAGTAGTCGGAGACATCGAGTACAAGTATCGATTACGGATGAATACAAGTACGAATACGAGTACGAATACAAGGGATAAATAGGAGGGGACGGCTGAACTCGACCCTTTTACCCCTTTCCTTTTTCGATCGCTCGCTCTCCTTGATCGCTCGCTTTAGATCAGTCAGTCTGTGTGACATATCAAGTTGGAGATAGAACGGGTTAGCCGTATTGTGTTAAGAAGGACAATAGACATGTGGATTCAGTTATATGAAGCCTAGTGAGGACTGTTAGGGGTCAGTTGATTCAGACTATTATTGTGAAGCATTCCTGTTGATTCATTGTGTTATTTTGAAGCATTTCTTGATTCATGTAATAAAAGGATCAATAGCGAACCTGCATCTTCGAGTATTTCTACTGTAGTCGATGTTGTGTAGCATGAGTGGTTAAACTCGTTACATTTGGCACTACAGGCAAATAATCTCGTAACATGTGGCGTTGCGAGCAGGGTAACTGTTCGCTCGTTACAATTGGCGTTGTCGGCAGGATACCTGTTCGCTCGTTACAATTGGCGTCGTCGGACAGGATGAATTCAACTAGACTTGCCGCTTTAGGCACCCATAGTCAACCTAGTTCATAACTGTGTTTAGTGTGTGTGTGAATTCGAACATTCAGGAACTGTGAAAATTGAGGAACGAGAAAAATTTTTCATACACACACGGTAAGAAAGAACTCTTTTTTTTTGTTACTTACGGAATAAAATGTCTACTCTGGACGAGAAGCAGACCCATATAGTGGTCCTACCCAGAGAGTCCTACATTAACAAATTTTACGGGGACGGTGATCCAACTTTAACCAACAGGTTCAGTGAAGAGGTCAAAGCGGCCTGGGCCTCGAGAGGCATGTCACCAGAGGAAAGATTAAGACTGCTGATGGGCAGTATAGGAGAGACGGTTAGGGCAGAGGTCAAATGCCACGATAAAACCATCCAATCAGATCCAGATAAGGTGCTGGATCTGATTATGGAGACCTTTGGGGAGAGACGGTCGGGATCGCAACTGCTATCAGGGTTCGTAGGCTTAAGGCAGAGAATGGCGGAGAGTGTGATGGAGTATTCACACAGAATGAACAGGGCCTTTGATTCGGTAAAGGGCAAAACACCTGACATTGATGTGCGCCTACTGAGGGACCATTTCATCGAGGGGCTAGCAACCCCGATCCTAAGAAGAGAGTTGAAAGAGGAGGTCCACAAAGACCCGCAGTTGACCTTCCTTCAGGTCAGGAACTCAGCGATCCGCAGGTCCGAGGATGAGGACCAATCGAACTGTTCGGTGTACAAAGTCTCTGTGCCTGAACAGAGACAATCCCCACCCACAGGGGCCGACACGATGGAGACCAGGATGGCTCAACTGTTGGCCCACCTAGATAAGGTTGACCAACGTTTGGAGAGGTTAGAAAGCAGGTCAACAGCTGAGAATCAGGAAAAGAACGGGACAAAACAGAGACAGGTTGGACGGCCGCGTCCTGCCAAGCCATCACTCCAATGGACGGCCGACGGTCGACCAATTTGCTTGTCCTGTTCACAACCCGGACATATGGCACGGTACTGTCCGGTGAAACGATCGCCCTCTGTAAGGCAGGTCAAGGCTACAGAGCGGCGAGGTTATGGCGTAAGAAACAAAAGGAAACAAACAATGAAAGAGTCTCAAACAAGACTCGAAGAGAAATTATCAGATATTGAAAAAATGAACTGTGAAATGAACTTGAATGTTGAAAAGTTTCAAGTGAACAATTTGTTGGCTAAGAAAAATGATGATAAGGAAGAAATTGGTAGACTTAATAATGAGATCTCAAGGTTAACCATGAAACTGGATAGGGAAAGTTCATGCAAAGTAAAAGCACAGGAGAAACGTTCATCTGTAGAGTGTCTGTTATCTGAAGAAGAAAATAGGAACTTTGTACCTGGTTTTGCAAAAATTGCCGCACCGTTGCATGACTTAAGAAACAAAATGACAAAGAAACACAGTAAGGAGAAAAAGAAAGGTAAAACACAACTGATAGGTGAATTATGGACTGATGAATGCCTGAACTCGTTTAAGCTACTGAAAAATGCTTTGACAGAGGCGCCGATATTGGGATACGCGGACTTTGACAAACCATTTCGGTTAGAAATCGACGCCAGCTCTAAAGGTCTGGGAGCTGTGCTATCACAACAACAAAAGCAAGGTTTCAGGGTTATTGCGTATGCCAGTCGAGCTCTGAAGGAATCAGAGAAGAACATGACAAATTACAGCGCCATGAAACTAGAACTTTTGACATTAAAATGGGCTGTGACTGAAAAATTCAGGGACTATCTATTAGGTGCTAAATGTGTGGTATACACTGACAATAACCCCTTGAGTCACCTAAAGACAGCAAAGTTGGGATCCATCGAACAGCGATGGGCAGCAGAATTGGCACTCTTTGACCTGGAGATAAAATATCGCCCGGGGCGGTCCAATGGCAATGCGGACGCTTTATCAAGGAATCCTTACGAGAGACCGGGCGATGAGGAAGAAACGCTGACAGGAATATGTGAGGTCAGAGCGTCAACAGATATCCCTCATGGGGTACAAGTGATGCAAAACGGGCAGACCGGGGTGGAGCAC